TGTCACAATCAAAAGATGGCTACATCTGGCTCCTGATCGGGATGGTGACAGGAAGGAGAGTATGAGAAGGAAAGAGGGCATGGAGAGCGCAACAATTTGATGGATAGAAAAATACCGTTCAAGAGTAAGCTGCATCCCAATTTGGACTTTGTGTTCACTGTAAAATAAAGAAAAGTGCATTTTCCAGTGTATGTGGATTATATGTGAGGTTCACAAATTATGACAATAAACATATTTTTATAAGAGTCGTTTTTGAGACTTTTTTTTTTAAATGTGGGTCAAATATGGCTCATGAAAGATGTGGCTTAGTTGAGGTTGAATTAAGGCTGATATCAGGAACCTGTTCTGGCCCAGCGTCGGGCCAGAGTAGGGCCAGATATGGTTTTACAATGCGGCTCACATCATGGATGCCAGACCTGGGCCACTGCAGGACCGTCATTCATTGAGGTATGTGGGCCGAGTGTACGTGCCGTGTCTGCCCCAGAGCTGGGCCAGACCAATTATGCTGACTGGGCGCCTTCGCGGACACACTTTTACGGAGCCCCTAAGGGGACATGGAAGAAAAAAAAAAAAAAGTTTGCGAGATCTCGCAAAGTAATGCGAGATCTCGCAAAGTATTCCAAAGTATTGCGAGATCTCGCAATCCTTTATTTATTTATTTATTTTTAATGCTCGTTGATGTGCTTCCGGGTCATCGTACGTATCATCAAAACAACAATCATGGAGGGTGTTCAACCGTTCGTGAGTTTAATAGAATTTTACTTTGAAATTGGCTTAAAATACAAAGACATTAAATCTGTTCTTGATGTTAAATACGGTTTCCAAATAAGCGAAAGACATTTGAAGCGAGTGCTGAACCAAAGAGGACTATTTCGTCGGAAAACGTTCAATGACTTGGGAGTCCTGGTTGACTTCATTCGCAACCAATTGCAGCATTCCGGACAACTACACGGTTACAGGTGGATGTACAGTAAGTGCAGAGAATATGGACTTCTTGTCAGGAAAGAGGACGTTCGTCTGGTCCTGAAAGAGTTGGATCCGAGAGGAGTGTCGTTAAGGCAAGCAAGACGTCTGAGACGACGAAACTACTTCTCCAAAGGGCCAAATTTTATATGGCACATGGACTCCTATGACAAACTGAAACCATTTGGAATTTGTATCAATGGGGCAATTGATGGTTTTTCAAGGAAAATAATGTGGCTCAATGCCTACACAACAAGTAGTGACCCGAAGTTGATTGGAGGTTACTACATCGAAGTTGTGCACCGTTTGGGGGGTTGTCCTCGAATCGTTCGAGCTGATCTTGGGACTGAAAATGGTCACGTTAAAGGCTTCCAGCGTTTCCTGGTGCCAATACCGCCAGGCAACACTCTTGACAGTTACTTGGATGGAGCCAGCACCGCCAATCAAAGAATTGAATATTGGTGGCGGTTTCTTCGCAGCCAGTGCATGGAGTTCTGGTTATCCCTCTTCACAGACCTCAGAGACAATGGCTTCTTTGATGGTGGATTTCTGGACAAAAACATCCTACAATTTTGTTGCATGGGACTTATTCAGGTGAGTTCATACATTCTGATAGACTCATTAATTAAATGTGTATTTTTGTATGTGAGAGTGAGTTGATGGGAAAGTGAACAGGAACACGAAAGAAAGAAAGAAGATAATGGTGGTGGGGGGCGGTGTCACAGGGTGAAGGTGAAGGAAAAGTGGGTAGTGGTGAGATGTGGTACACATGAGAGGGGAGGAGTGAGACAAAAAAGCAGCTTCATGCTATAATTTCTTGCTCATAAAAGCTGATATGACTGTGCAGCTCCTTCTTAATCTGTCTGTATACTATTTTCAACAGGATGAGTTGGATGACATGGCCCTAGTTTGGAACAGCCATCTCATCAGGCCCTCAAAGAACATGAATGTCCCCAGTGGTCGGCCCAACGTGATGTATACGTTACCTGAACTTTATGGTACAAGGGACTTCCTCTCCCCAGTTGACGATGAACAAGTTCAACTGTGCAAAAGCCAGTGTGTCTTTCGTTTGACCATGCCTTGTGATCCGGATGTATTTGCATTGTGTGCTTTTTTAATGTCCCGGTCCGATTTAATGCCACCAAAAGATCCATATCAGGCTGTGAACTTGTATTTGCACCTCAGAGCGGCCCTCACCGCTACTCTTTAAATTACAAGGATTATGTTTTCAGGGTTCAGAGACATGTAACTGTTGGTGAAAGTAGTTTTCCTTTCGAACACCAATCATATTAGAATGGTATTTATATTCTATTATTTTATATTCAAATGTAAATATAAATTACAGCCATCTATGTTTTGCTTGGTGTTTGGGCCAAAGTATATTATGGCTCCTCAGCTGGTGTGAGAAGTAACATTTATTGAAGCCTGAATTTGACCATTGTCAGTTCTTTTATCACTTCACTTTCAATGGATAATTGAAACACTTTTGATGACGAATAATGTATAGCCATCATAATTAAAAGCATTTTTTTATCTGCTGTTTTTCTTCCTGTATAAGGACAACATATTTGATCTACAATATAAAATGTTTATTTGTCAAAGCATTATTGGTGTAAATAAACATTCTTTCTTGGTTGCTGACTTTATCCACAAATACTTAACCAACGTGGATGCTGAAGAGTATTCCTGCATAATTGTACATCATCCCAATTGAATTTTCACCTGCCTGTAAATGATGACTACGTAATTGTCACTCCTCACTTTCGTCAGCAGGTGGTGTCTTGTGTTTAAAAAAACTTAGAATGATTTGGAACACATTTTATTCACATTGGCAAATTCTTACAAACATCAATCTCAAAATTTTAAATGGAATATAAAACTTAATACCTTTGGGTAAAACTGAAAACTCCCATCTTGCCTGAAACCATCATGAGAATAAGTGGTGCAGAAAATGGAAGGAATGGAGAATTAACATGGAATCAATTGCATTGTAATAATGCACAATACACAAATGGAAACACACAATTGCAGACTGCCCTTCACGTGGTTAACTATGCCAGATGTTTTACATCTCGAAAGTACAAATGAAGAACAGAGCCAATGAAATGCTTCAACTCACTCTATCTGTATATCTATCTCTCTCTCTCTCTCTCTCTCTCTCTCTCTCTCTCTCTCTCTCTCTCTCTCTATATATATATATATATATATAAATGAATCAAGCCCCTCTGAAAAGATGCTTTGTTTATTCAGCTCCAAGACAGATGAGCTCACATCGTTCTTGTCTCACTGCCACTATTGACAAAACAAAAGCCATTTGATATCAAGCTCTGTTCCTTTGCATTGGACACGTGGAAATGAGATTCCAAGGTGATGGATGGGCCCGAGCACCCTGTTATTTAAACAGCCTATTTAAGACATGTGGGTCCACATTCCCGGCATTCCACTTGCCACTTTTGCAATGCCATCTCCAGTTAATTGGCTTGGAAAGGGAATTGCCATTCAATTGGTGTAATGCTGAAGCCCTGTGACAGCACTGGTAACTGATTCTGTTTGATTTAAGTTGGGGTTAATGCCCATGGAGGCATACTTTCAATGTTGTCAATGGTAATAACATACTTTCTCGTGTCGCACAGGGCGCCATTCAAGACTATTGACTGCAAGCGGCAGTGCTACATGAACAGGGTATAGTCTGAGCAAAAATATGCAGTAAAGTTAAGCACTGTCTATAAGGTAATAAAAATAACCTCCCCCACCCCAGACCCCATCCATTTCATGTACCCCCCTTAAGGCTGAGGTCTGCCGACGGGTCGGGTAGCATTGTTTTGGACCTGAAGAGCTTGGTAAGTCGGAAATGATTTATGTTATAAAATGAAAGAGAAAGGGCAGCGCAGTGTTACTGCGGTGAGCTCCGGGGTAGGAGATTCTGAGTTTGAATCTTAGCTCAGGACCTCCGATGTGGCACTTTGGATGTTCTCCGTGTGCGTGTGATCCTAATGAGGACAAGCAGTATCGAAAATATATGAAGGAATGCAAATGGACGGAAAAAGAAGGGCGCTAACAATGTACGTGTCACACAGGGTTAAAAAGTCAATTGCAAATGTGGAAATGTCATTTCATGCTACAGATTAGAGGAGGAAATTTCAATGTGAGTTGAATTAAGGAGAGTGAGTGCATGACTCAGCACTTTCTCTTCTCATTAGAAGTCATGGTGCATATGCATTGCAGTGATTTGTTTTTTTGTGGAAACTTTTCAACTCACCTTGGCCAAGTTGATTCTCCAGATACAGAACTATGTATCTGAAGAAACTCTGGACTTTTTTTCGTCACAGCTCAAACATCTTGGAATCTAACTAATGTCTTTGATTTAAAGATGACGTGATGAAGAATACGCAAAAATCTACAAAAATTGTAGAAATTGTAACATATGGGGTAACCCATGTGTTACAAACATCGTAGAAATTGCAGCACAAGGGCTAATGTCAAATTAAATAAGCCTGTAGGATGGCTGAACCTGACAGGCAGTTGAGCTTCAGCATCGAAAAACGGAACTGATGCTCAATACTGTGACGGTGATAACATGAAAATGTTGCTAATTTTTCAATTCGGGTTTATGAATTCAATTGGTGGTGAGAAAGACTTATGAGAGGCAAGGACTTTCTCACAGTTGTGCACCTGTGAGTCAGGCTGGATTTACACTGCGGGTGGGTACAAGTGATCATTTACTGACATATACTGTGGCTGATATATTTTTTTAACTGTTTATTGTTGCTGTGCAGAGGGCTACATTGTACATGAATAACTTCAGCGTCAACACCAGGTTGTGACACCATAGAAGTACATACATAAGAGATAATACATAAATACTGCAATACAAATTCAGTGTTATTAAACATTACCGTACCGACCATTTAGTTGTAGTTTTCTCCTCAGTGATTTAATGAGGGTAACACCGACATTACTTCACTTTGCTTATTTACTCATCCACGGTACTCTGTCACATATTAAGACCACATATGTACCCCATATATGCCAGTGATTCTGACAGTCAGGTACACATACCACAGGTGTGTTATTTTTTTTTTTTGTTTTTTTTTTAGCACAAAGAGCACAGCATGCTTGATTGATTGAAAAAATATATATTGGCTCCACCGTACAATGGAAATTGATTTCAACCTTGGGAATCTTTCCTGCTGTCAATCAATGTTAACTAAGACACAATGGTAGTCATATTGAAATAGTTGGCAAGGTCATATTATATTGATAAATTACCAACTGGGTCATGCATTCCCAATAGTTTGTTCACAATCCTTTCTGCTTCAGATGTGTGTGATGCCCTAATGCAGGGGTCCCCAACCGCCGGTCCGCGGACCGGTACCGGTCCACCGGGCATTTGGTACCGGGCCGCACAGAAAGAACTTGCCTTAATTCCGTTTTATTTATTTCGGAATACGAAAGATGTTTTATTTTGAAAAACTACCGG